ATTTGAAAGTGGCGCCCGAATTGCAGCATGGCGCCAGTTGTCCAAAATCCTACGGTACCAAAGGAGGGGTTTGGAAAAAGGGTGCCAGGCCGAAAACGGGATGCAGCTGAAACAGCAAAAGATAGACCAGGGATCGAGCCCTGGCGGAGTCCGTAACATTTTGAGTCTGGTTTTGTTTTTGATTTTAAAAAAATAATTTAAATGCTAAAAAAATACAAACAAAAATATGGGGACGTAGAGAGGAAAAAAATATACACCCCCATATTTTTTATTTTTGTTTTTAGTTATTTTTTGGCAGCGAAAAAAAATTCCGCGGGCCGAGTTGTACCACGTTGTAACGGGTTATAACGCGGAGTTGAAACGGGGTTCAATGGGAGTTGAACCGTTCAACTCCAAACCCCCGTTGAATCAGATTTCGGACACACAGTCTACAAGGATGCGGTCGGTTGTGTCCAAATCAATGGACTTTTGTCAGATTGCTACCCGATATCCCGCTCGGTCCGCCAAGGGGACCCACTAGCTCCATCAATCTTCCTATTCGCAATGGAGGCAATCACATCCTTCCTACGCAAGGATCCATCAATTCAGAGACTTGCCAGCACCGATGTAGGCTCGGCCCACCAGATGGATTTCCCCGCAGCTATCATGTTCGCCGATGATTTAACGGTTATGATCAGAGCATCAGATTCTTCCTTCAGAACACTAGCTAAAGCAATGGAAGCATTCAGGTTAGCCTCAGAGATGAAGATCAATTTGGGGAAAACAATTGGCTAGTGGCTCTCCGAGGACGAACCCCTTTCTCTCCAAGGATGTGAGGCGGCTATGACATGGCAAACACCGGATACACCCACACGTTATCTAGGTATCCTGATGACGAAAGGAGGACTGGCGCCCCAAATGGGCCCATCTATGCTGGCCAAACAGATTAACAAAATCGAAAGGTGGGGCAATGCTTTCACTTCCCTTATCGGCCGAGCGCTGGTCCTCAATACGTTGTTTTTTTCGATGATGTGGTATATTGCTTCTATTTGGACAGTTCCCGACAGCTCGATTAAGGAGCTGAACAGACGAGCCAGGATTTACCTATGGACAGGAGACCCCAACAAAGACAAGGGAGGCCACGAGATGGGGCCCTAGGAATCATTGACCCCGGAACAGAAACGAAAGCTCTGCAAATTAAATGGATCATCAAACTGCTCCAAGACGCATCCCCTACTAGAGCCTATCAATTCTCTCACATGCAGCAAGGCTCACACACCAGAGCCATTTTCCTCTCCTTCCCGGTCTCCTTCACCAATACGGACATGCCAGCTATTCTCAACTGCAATGTAGAAACATCTATACTGGATTCCTTCCTCCTCAGAAAAGTAAGGGTCCTAGGTACATGGCCAAAGGCAATTTTCAGACCGAACACTGCAATCCGATCCTTGGAGTTCGACCCAGCGGAGTGGGCCTGGAAGCCAAATACCACCAGCAACTTCAAGTCAAAAATCCCAATCCAGGATTACTCAGTAAAACTTGGGTACAGACTGTCTCTGAAGACCAAAAATCCAGATCCAATCATCAAAAACAGATGGCGGAACCTCGTGGGTCAAGAACCAGACAAAATTACACGAATCCATTGGGAAAAATTCAAACGTATCAGACCAATCAAGATTAGAAGTTTGCAATGGCTGATTGTATACGCAGCCCTGCCGGTGAACCAATGCAATGACTGCACATTGGACGGAAAACCACAGACCCAGACAGCTCGGAATTTTGTACAGTCTGTTCTGAAGGCTCGGTAGAAGACGTAGTCCACTGCCTAGTCCTCTGTAAAGAGGCGACCGAATATTGGGCGAGAGCTTCTTCACTCTGGGATTCCCTCTTCACATCTCCCTTCCCCAAACAACCCATTCAACTGCTCCTCTTGACTAACATCCCTGATCAGGCTCGGAAGGCTGAGAGGATCTGGTTTGAACTCATCAGGAAAGTGACCCTATGGGTCATATGGAAGGAGAGATGCAGTCGAACAATTGAAGGACGGTCCAACCCACGGGAGAAAGTGTGAATAGAAACTAAAACCATGATTCAAGCCGAGATCCTTTGCAGATGGTGGAAGATCAAACGAGCCTGGACAGAAGACGAAGAACAGCGGAACAAGGAGAGGCAGAGATTCTATAGGAGTTGGCTGGTCGATGGCAAGGTTGGAGAATTGCGACAGGATCGGGTATGCTGGAAAGATTGGCACAATTCAATTCCAGAAAGGGGTTCCCAACATCAGACAGCGCTGGAAGACTTTACCACGTCTTAGGCCGCAAGAGGATAAACATAATCCTCAAGCGACCCAGGGGGTACAGACAACGTGAAAAAAAGAGAAATAAGTCTGATAACTCTGGAGCATGAACGGGGGTCGCAAAGGATGATCCCATCTCAGAGATCCGGAAGCTGACGAACACCCTGCCAGGGTCCAATTTTGACGATCGGATGATAAGAATGCAGGCCTAGGATGTAAGGTTTAATGATAAACGGTTGACCTTCCAAAGGGGGGCAAAGGGGTGTATGGGTAAGGATCAGGTTGGGTAAGGACAACAGATGAGATCTTTCTAGGGTCAAATGCATTATCTGACAGACCTGGATTCCGGGTCTGAGAGGAAAGAGAGGGACAAGGAAAGCTGACAGTCAATCCTCCCGTGGTGGAGCAATCAATGCTGCTCAGGGGTCCTTCGGCCTGACGGAAGGAAGCGTGTGTGATTGGTAATTGATGTAATGTATAATTTGACTTGCTGGTGGAATAGGAACCGGACTGACGCTCCCCAGAATAGAAGGAGCCAGGACCATAGGGCTCTGTTTTAAAAAAAAAAGAAAAAAAAAAGAAAAGAAAAGAAAAGAAAAGCGATAGAATTGCTTCAGATGAGATACTGACCTGTCAAAGTACATGGCAGCCGCATCCAGAAGCTTCTCCTGCTTTGTTCTTGCCTTTCATGGGAATGCGATACACACATTTCACGAAAATACATATCAGAAACAATTCAACTACGTTAGCAACTTAGCACAGAGATCAGGATTAATGAAGCAATAACGTTCGAATAAATGGGAAAAAAAAGCAGAAAAGGCTGTTGACACGTTTTTTGAAAAGGACTCCTACAGGAACACTGGTTCAGCACTCCTGCGGTGGTGAGTGATGTACATTTACAGCAGCTTTGTGTATGATGTGTTCTGTGGGGGGTATGGGCGGCCTTGGCGGGCATGTACAACTGGTTGGGTGGAGTGCGATGGGAGAAGGGCTAGGTAGGTAGAAGGGAGGGAGGGCCGCTTGAAGTCAAAGATGGCATGGAGGGTGTAACCTGCAACCCCCCCCCCCCACCCCCACCCCAACTTGATTCCATGCGGACATTGCGGAGCCCTGAAGACAAGCCTAGGGCCCCATTTTGTGCACTACAGTGTAACAGTTGGCATTGCCATCCTGCCCTGCCATTATCGTCATTGTTCATGATTATTGTCGCTGTCGCCATCCTGCCACGCTAGCTGCCACTGCTGTCATTGCACACCTCATTCCAGCAGTCCCCCTAATAGGTGGAGAAGTGAGAAAGAGTTGTCCTCCTTCACCTTAGAAAACCAGTTTAAAGGTATACCCCTTTAAAGATTACAGCCCTTTAAACCCAAATACATCCCCCCCAAACCCCCTGGGTAACCCATCACCGAATCGGAAGCAAGGCTGGATTCTGACAATTCAGGCCGAACTTGGAAATCGGGTGAATGGGAAGTGAGGGTGCAGGATTTAACCCCCACAAGGGCCTATCGATTCTCCCATGAACAGCAAGGGTCGAATACCCTGGCAGTGTTCACCTCCTTCCCAATTACCCCCTCCACGCAAGGCCTTCCATCTATCCTGAATAAAGAGGTGGAAAGAACAGTCCTAAACCCTWTTGTACTCAGAAAAGCCAGAGTGTTGGGGTCATGGCCAAAAACAATCTTCAGAATGAATACGGCGATTCAAGAATTGGAATTTGATCCAACAGAGTGGGCTTGGACACCAGACAGAAATAGAAGCCTCAAAACTAATGTTTTCATTCAAGAATACACAGTCAAACTGGGATACAACTTACTCCTCAAAACAAAGGATCCTGACCCAGCGATCACGAACAGATGGCAGAAGTTAATAGGCCAAGACGCTAGTCAGATCCCACAAATATCATGGAAAAAATTCATGTCAATTCGTCCGGTCAAAATCAGAAGCCTCCAATGGCTCATCTCATACGTAGCTCTACGGGTTAACGAGTGATTGCACATCAGAAGAAGCAAGAATGACCCTAACAGTTCAGATTTATGCATGGTATGTTCAGAAAATGAACCAGAAGATATGCTACATTGCCTGATACGATGCAGAGAGGCGACCGAATATTGGGCGAGGGCCTCGGATGCAATCGGACTCACTTTCGTCTTCACTTCGCATGCATACAAACAGTTGGCATTCCACACTGGCGCTGGGCGCCCACACAAAGCTCAGAGATCATCACACTGAGAACACAGTTCAGATACAAACTTGCTTCCAACCAGCTATGGCGTTTGAGCGCCACACATCCTCTGTCCGATACGGTGTTCACCCAACTGTTCACACGCACTCGACTCCGGATCTCCCGGATATCCCACGCACATACACTCTGTAACACGAACACCCACACACTCTGACTAACACCTATCGCTAGCTATGGCAGCTATGGTCGCCACTACCACTATCTACAAGCAGCTATGGCTGCGCTAACTCCACCTCAGCCCACTTCGACTCCAGGCCTATGCAGACCACCTCGCACGAGACGCTAGGGCAGCGCTTCCGCATGGCTCACGCAGGAATGAATGAATAGCTGGACGCTGCCTCTTGATTTATACTTCTGTAGGCCGCTGGTCTGCCTCTTTCCACCGGGCCCACGGTGCACACAGTCCCACATGGTACTTGCTGACTGGACAAAGTAAGACTGGGACTGGGTACCGCTGACTAGACAAAGTTGGACTGCCTACTTGCTCACATGCCTCTGGCCAAACGTGGAAACTCTCGAAAGGCCACTTCCGGACCTTCCGGAAGTTTGCGGACTTGGCCTTTCGGGACTGTAGCAGCTATGACCTTGACCTTTTTGTGCAAAACAGGTTGTCACCAAGGAGAGGGAGAGCATTAATTGATGAAAAGTTTGAATCTTACATCTTGAAAGACAGTCTTCATTTCAGCTAAACATGTTCTCAGGATATCCTGTTTGCTCTTGGTACCATCACTAACACACTTCATGTCCCTCTCCATCATCGCACGTAAATATGGCTTCCAGAGCTCATACCTGCAAATACATTGAGACATTCCACGGCCATTCGGTTGTTTGTTATACCACTAGTATTTCCGAGCCTGTTTTTGCCGAGCCTGAATTTTACGGCGCTCCGAGTTTTGCCAAGCCTGGGTCCCACTCCATTTTCTTTTCAGGTACTCTCACAGAAAGAACCGAAAAAAAAATAAAAATAAAAAAATTCGCGGCCATGAAACTCACAAAAGAAGGGGGGGGGGAAAAGGAAACAAAGCTTTGGCATGCAGTTGTATACATTCTTGGAAGTGGTAATGCAAGTGTGCCCTCAATGAGGGTGTCTCAGCCCCGTGGCCAGGTTGTCAGATTCAAGAAAGACAAAGAAGAAAACTGAAACGAAAACACGGATTCGGCCGTGAAAATGGATGGATACATTCCTCTAAGTGCCAGTGTGATCAGGGTTACAATCCTCTGAGGAAACACAGCTTGAGCAGATCACGGAGTCCGCCCTGCCTCGTTGGCAGAGAACTCGTAAGAACAACAAGGGAAAATAAAATAAAAAGGAAACAACAACGTTCAGAATCTGACCATTTTCGCTGTAAGATTCATTCTGTGGAGGACTACTGCCAGCACGGCCTCCTAGACTACCCTGCCTGACATCATTGCAGTAGAGAAAGTATCTTCTTTTTTTTTTTCTTTTCCTTTCACGCGCGGGCAATGTAAAGCTAAACTTTATGGGACTTGCTGAGCCTGGTGGGACTTCCGAATTCCTAGGGAACGCGCAGTTTTCCCTAACTTCCCATCACTGACAGAGGTACTGGTGGTTTAAAAGAACTGAAGATAGGCTCGCCGTGTGAAGAAGAAGAAGAAGACTCCTTGTGAATACATGGCAAAGCTACGGACACGTCCAAGAAAGAACAAAACTGATAAAACTTAGTAATGATCTCCGCCGGAGGTGGTTTGTATTCCAATTATACACCACGTCAAATTGCAAGATCTTGTTCTTTCTTCCTTTTTTCTTTCTTTCTTTCTTTCTCTCTTTCTTTCTTTCTTTGTTTCTTTGTTTCTTTTCTTTCCTTTCTTTCTTTCTCTCTTTCTTTCTTTCTTTGTTTCTTTGTTTCTTTTCTTTCCTTTCTTTCTTTTCTTTCTTTTCTTTCTTGCTTTCTTTGCTTTCTTTCTTCAAGGCTGTGACAAATTGCTAGCTTCTGACCATAGCAGACAAATGGCAGCACCCCTGGGCAGATGAGCACAACTCTCAAACGCAGTATCCCCTTATCTTTAATATGGAATGGGCTCAGCCTCTATCTCTTGATGTGGTGTCTTATATTGAACTTCTGCGTGTACAGCGTGATTATTGAGTATCACTATTTTAGTATTTTTACTATATGCAGTCTAGGTAGTGGGGCGGGACATCCAGCAGGCGCTGACCTGTTGAACCCCAGAACTGGACGTCCTATTCGGACAGCCAGCCAGAATACCTGCTTGACGAGATGCATGAAAGAAGGAAAGAAAGAAGAAAGAAAGAAAAAAGAAAGAAAGAAAGAAGAAAGAAAGAAAGAAAGAAAGAAAGAAAGGAAGGAAGGAAGGAAGGAAGAAAAGAAGGAAGGAAGGAAGGAAAAAAGGAAGGAAGAAAGAAAGGAAGAAAGGAAGAAAGGAAGAAAGGACAAAAGAAAGAAAGAAAGAAAGAAAAGAAAAAAGGAAGAAAGGAAGTCAAAGGGTTTCACCCAGTTCGCGCGGCAATCGCAGATCGCAGGGCTCGATCCTTAGACCTATCCTGTACCCTTGTACAGTTGCCCGATTCCCCTGTGTTCCTTCAACCCGCGACCTGTCCCCAAAAACGTACCTCTGTGTGTTGTGTGCGTAGTTGGGTCATGTGGACTTGAACCGTAGGTCTTAGTTTTAACAGTCCTTGGGTCAGTCCTATAGGTTAGCCCTAAGTGTAGCGAAGGGTCAGTCAACATAGCCAAGGACTTTCTAGAAGTCCCTACTTGGCTCTTCGGAGCTGTAGGAGTCAGTCGTTCGTAGCTGAGTCAGCAAGGTACAGTCTAGTCCTAGTCTAGTCAGCAGTCTCAGTCTCAGTCACAGTCCACCTTGTCCAGTCAGCAAGTACCAGGTGTGGCTGCACACTCCTTGGGCCTGGGACCGTAGGCAGGCCAGACCACCGACGAAACAGTAAAAATAAAGAGGCTTGTGCGACTTGTGCATCGGAGGTCTGCAGGAGCCTGACAACGAAGAGGGCTAGAGAGGAAGGCAGGGGCCATAGCCGCCAGGTTGCTGACACCAAAGTCCAGAGTGTGTGTGTGTAGGAGCGTGGACATTCAGGGTAGATCCTAGTACGTACGTATGTGGGTGAGAGTGTGTCTGATGGTGGATAGAGTGTTCGGGTGGAAATTCAGACTAGCATTCAGCGGCCATAGCCGCTAGATGTGACAAATTGACTTAAGCTGGGTTCCTGGCCGAAGGCCATATCTCTGAGTTTTCTGTGTGGGCACCGTGCGCCATCTCAAGCTTGTTGCTGATTCCGTATTGAGGAAGTTGTTTTGCCATCGGCATATGCATGTATGTATGTTGAAACTCAAGTTGAAAACAGGTCTGATTGCACTGGTATCAGAGCAGGTTCCCGTTGTCCGCGCCATCGCGCCGATCGCCGCGCTGCTGCGACAAAGAAGAAGACCGATGCAAGAGAGAGTGAGGGACGCCCGAAGGAGACAGTCCACCATAGTGGACGGCAGCCATAGCCGCCAGCTTAGAGGAAGGAAAAGAACAGTGAGAGAGAGAGAGAGAGAGAGAGAGAGAGAGAGAGAGAGAGAGAGAGAGAGAGAGAGAGAGGTGACGAAGGTGAGGAGAGAAGCCATAGCTGGCGAGGAGAGAAGGGGAAGCAGCCGCCATAGACGGACGTCGGGGAGTTGACCGACGAGCATTGACCAGCGTTGACCAAGCATTGACCGGCGTTGATCAAGCGTTGACCGGTGTTGACCAGGGGTTGACCGGCGAGTGTTGACCGGTGCCCGTTGACTAAGCTGGAGTGTGGAGCGAGGAGCGGTATAATCCCTCAAGTCCTTGCCCTTGTCCCTTACACCCTGTGGATGTTGCACACTCACCTTGGTACCTGCTGAGAGTCTGTCACCTCTTTCTGCATTGAGTCACTCCTATCCAGGTCGATAGGTTCTGTGGATGAGGTCTGATAGAGGCTGTGAGCCAGTTTCTGCACGGGACTGTAGGGGTGAGGTGTATCTGACGCTAGACGACCTGGGAAAACACCCCAAGGACAGGTACAGACCGGCAGGTTGCTCTGGGTGGTACACTATATCTGAACTCTGAGCTGCAGAGCGGGTGTCCAGTCTGTCTAAGTCTTGAGAGGACTTCGGTTGTGATCATCATCCTGACTGCGACGTTGAAGAATTCCTGAGGAGTTATGGGCGATTTCCTTAAATGCCTCCTGATCAGCCAATAGTCCTGTAGTGACAGAGTAGCAGTAGCTTAGGCTAGAATCGTGAGGTTGACAGAGGGTCAATCTGAAGCTGAAGCCAGGTGGGATTGGTGACTGTGGTTGCGAAAGCATCCGCCGGCTATGGAAAGATTGGTGACTGCGGTTGCGAAAGCATCCAAAGGCTGTGGTAACCTGGCTGAAGTGGAGGAGAGATCTCTGTAGTCCTTAAGAAATTTAGTGCTTAGGTGGTAGGTCTAAGTGTTGAGGAGTGGAATCGTCAGTGATTGTGCCCCTTTAAACATGGTGACCACCTAGTCCGGAGCCCAGACTCGCCCATGTAGCAAGGAACAGGAAGAGAAGGCCACCATAATTCTCAGAGAACAGAAGGAAAGAAAAGAAAGGAAGGCTCTGGAGAAAGAGGCCACGAAATTGGCCTTAATGGAGGAAGAATCGGCCAAAAAGAAGCAGATGGAAGAGGAGATGGAGAGATGGAAGGAGGAGCAAGAGGTGAAGCTGGCTGTTGTAGAAGCAGCAGCAGCAGCAGCAGCAGCAGCAGCAGCAGCAGCAGCAGGAGCAGCAGCAGCAGCAGCAGCAGCAGCAGCAGCAGCAGAAGAAGAAGAAGAAGAAGAAGAAGAAGAAGAAGAAGAAGAAGAAGAAGAAGAAGAAGAAGAAGAAGAAGTTGAACAAGAAGAGGCCCTGCTGCAAAGAAGGGGAGAAACAAGTTCAGGATTGGCATCGCCTGAAGAAGTGGAGAAGGTGGTGAAGGAATGGGTGGTAGGATTGTCCCTGGGGGCAGACAGGGAGGCAGAGTTGATAGTCCCTCAAGCTGAGAGAGAAGCGGTAAGGAGAGAGTTAGAGCAAGAAGAGAGTCCCATGCGGCGAAAGGCAAGAGAGCAGGAGAAGCGTTTGGAGTGGCAATTACGCCTCGCAAGGGAGAAGATAGGGCGTTCGGAGATGGCAGACAGGATGGAGAGAGAGTAACGGTTGGCGGAAGAGCGGTTGAGAAAAATTGGGGAAGATGCTGAATTAGGAAAGAAAATCGACACCATGACCGAAAGCATAACCTCAGTGTTAGCGGCAGAGCAAGAACAGTTGAGGCACCTTCGTGGACATGATGTTGTGTTGGAATCCATTCGAATTCCAAGATTTCGTTGAGGCGATGATACTCCGTTTGACAAATGAGATGCGCGCCATGATAAATAGGACAAGGAAATTATGTATTGGCGCAATAGGTGTCAAGATGGCGGCCCCCAAGGAGGAGGAACTGCACCCATGCCGCGAACGGGTCAAAGTCTGTTTCCCAGAACCCTACAGTGGGAAGAAGGGGGAACACTTTGATAATTGGGAAGCTAACGTCAAGTCCTAAATGCCTTTGCAGGACGTAGCTCCCGAGGATCATGTCTTGATAGCCTTTCAGGCTTTGAGAGACAAAGCGACCAACTTTGCAAGGTCGTTCACACGTGCCGCCCACTGCGATAACGACATGGTCCAATGCTCTGCTGTCACTCACCTTAGTGATTTTCTCGCTGCACTGCGGGAACAATTCGCAGACATCACTAGTGGACGAAGTGGGATCAAGATTGCACCTCGGCCGTAAGGAAAATGAAGAAGG